CATGCATGGGGGATTCCAAACCCTAAAGGAGACAACTTTATGCATCTAGAACCTTAGAAACACCAAGGGTGGCAACTCATAGCTCCTGGAGTGGTACCAAACCACTAGATCTCATTCTTGGGACCAAAATGAACCAAAACTCATACAAACCAGATCTAAGCGAATAATGAACAAGATCAAAGCTTTTTACCTCAAACAAGTTGGAAATGAAGCACATAATCAAGATCCACAAGCTCTTCCTTGATTCACCACCTTGTACCAAACTCCATCTTCTTGTAAATGACCCAAAAACACCAAAATGCACATCATGAGCTCAAAATCACAACCATGGAGGCTTAGAGACGATTTCTAGGGTTTTGGGGACTTGGCGGCTGGTAAAGAGGCCAACCATAATGACTTAATGAGTTTATATGGGGTACACATCCAAGATTAGTGTTTTTCCTTTAACCATCGTACGCCCCGCGTACTCCTCGTACGCCCAGCGTACGAGGTCTCGCATCCCTACCCTGACCCTCGCAGTACACTAAGCGTACATAACATAACGCCTAACATAACACCCATCGCATTAGTACACCCCGCATACACCCTAAGTACGCCCCGCGTACTAGGTTTTCCCCCATTAAACCTTAACACGTTCCGAAGGCCATAACTTCTTCGTTTTAAATCCGATTCCGACGATCCTTATATCCATGAAAAGGCAATGAGAAGCTCTACACTCTAATCAACTCGTACCCGCCTTACCATATCTCGAACAAACCTCCAATTTCATAAAAGACCGAGTCGAAAAATTACCAAAATACGCTTTCCCTGATCACTACCCCAAAATGGGAAACGATTCGAAACATGGCGTTACAACTCTCCCCCACTTAAATTAGATTTCGTCCTCGAAATCTTTCCTTACCATTCCCGACACGCCAAACAACTTGAGCAACACGGTCACCACCCCGAGCATACCCCGGCCTTCTCAAGGCAACCGAAACCAACCCTCGCAGGGCTTTACAACACGAAAATGAACGAATCTCTTGCAACATAATCACATTTACTCAATTTGAAATCTGAAGTCTCGAGATGGTCTGACTCCCTAACAGATCGCCCATACTGAATCACTGCTGAAACCATTCCACTTATTACCCAACTGACTACTCAACTTCCGATAACTTGAGGTTCCCACTAGAAAACAGAATCACAGACCAAATATCCCTGCAGAAGATTTATACTTGACAGAAATTCAGATAATCCTTCGAGTAAAAGACTCATCCCTGCAGCGGTTAGACTTAGACGAGAGCTGCGCAACAGGATCAAATCATTTACTCTAAGATTATCCAATCCCAACTGCAAGTGACCTAACATCTCCTCCGAAGAACAAGCTATTCCCCAAACAAGTTCCAAATCAATAATATTGCCCTGAATTATCTGGATGCTCTTCACCAATAGGACCAATCCAAGACACAATCACAAGAGCTTGATTTATCATCAAAACTGAATCCATTCCTTACCATTGAACCCTTCGATTGATGCCCTCGGCATATAGATACCCCAACTCTTACCCCACTGAAAGGAAATCCTACACAAGACACTCACGATTCCCAACTCGAAATCTCAACCAAAAATCAACCCGATACTTAACTCATAACCCGAGATCCACAAATCTGCACTTGCATTTCACCCAAAACCTTCTGATTCACGACAACCCCTCACTAGACCGAGATATAAAGGTTCCCAAACCATCATTGAGACTACCAGTCTTGCATCTGGTCCAACCACCAGGTTCCCAATAGTCCAAATAACAAGGTTGCGCAGCCTATAAACCCTCTGCGTCACACACTGACCACCCACTCGATCTTGCAACTCAAGACCCATCACCTTGACCCAACGGTCTCTACCAGGTCCCACCTGTATTGCCAAAGTCACACGGGCCTCGCCCACGGGTCCCACCCAAACCGTACCACAGAGCGACCTCACTCATTTGAATGACCTTGATTATAAAATTATATATATATATATATATATATATATATATATATATATATATAATTTCCATAAATTTGAAAATTGTAAGGAATACATACTTTATATGACTATCAGTTAGGGGTGTTATTCGGTTTGGTTTTTTGCTTTTCGGTTAAAACAGTTCGGTTTTATGGGTTTTTTTACATTTTAAATCTAACTATAACCAAACCAAATAAGGTTCGGTTTAATCGGTTTCGGTTTATTCGGTTATGGTTTATTCAGTTCGGTTTAACGGTTAAACCGAATAAAATTCAGCACGTAAAAATAAATTTTAAAATAAAAGAAAAAAACTTACTAAACTATTACCAAACAAAGAAACTACATTAATATATAAAATATTATATTTAAGTTGTAGAGATATGTTAATATAATTTTAATCGTATTTGAAAATGAAAGAAACAACTAAAAGTTATTTGGTTAATTTGCATTTGCTTCTTAATACAAAATATAAAATAATTATAACTTTATAATGGTTAATAACTAAAAAAGTCATGAAAATCTTGGTAACTAATCAATACATTTATATATATATATATAATAGTTTATTCGGTTTTTCGGTTTAACCAAAACAATGAAAATTTAACCAAAAACCAAACCGAATAAGGTATCCTTATTCGGTTAACCAAACCAAATTAACCGAAAACCAAATAACCCGAACCAAATAAACCAAACGTCATTTGGTTCGGTTTGGTTATTCGGTTTTTGTTTTTTATGACACCCCTACTACCAGTGACGGATCAAGGATCAAAATAAAAGGGTATCCCCAACAAGTAAAGGGGTATCCCCGACAAATAAATCACGTAATACATAATAAGAAAAAAAAACTCTGAAAAAATTTAAATACTAAACCTTTTTTGAGGGGTATCCCGGGCTACCCGGGATATATACTAAATTTGCCATTGATGGCTACACATTCTGGAATCTAAACTCTACTACCCCACCGACTTTGGAATGAAGATTACTACTTGAGAATGGTCTATTTTTGGAATAGGTGGTCGTATTTCCAAATTGGAAATAAACTTATTATTTTTATTAAATCACTCATATATAATGGTTAGTTTACTTAATTTTTTAAAAGGTGTGATAATTGGGTTACATATTTAACTATAAAGTATAAACCCATACTGAAATATTTATATATCTTTTAGAAATATATATGATTTTAGATAAAAAAAGAAATTGGTGGTGATTTTATTTTGTAATTAGAAATACTAAACTAAACATACTCATGCATGCGTATTGTTTTAGGGTCTATTTTTGTCCGGCTCTGTTTTGTTTTTAACCAATAATTAAAACTTTCTGGTTTTCCTAATCAAAAGTTAAATATGAGAAATTGGTTCTGTCGTTATATACTTATCTTCATCATAAATAACAATTATCCCTTATTTATATATTTTTAGATTTTAGTACGACAAAGAAAATTGATATGTCACTATATGGAAATCTTAAAAAGCAATCTAAATTATACTTTAAGACATCAATTGTACTATTTTAATCAAGTGGCTCCATCATTTAATAACGTGTCTAAAAGCGCAATTTGAACGATGGAATGATCAAATATTACAGATGAACAATTCATATTTTCTTTCTCGAGAATAGCAACGTCTACACAAGTGGAAATCGGACGTACAACTAGTAGTGTTGGCAATTGTTGTAGTTATATGGTTTAGTCCTTTGTTGTATATAATTTATGGGTCAATTAACTTTTATTTGTCCAAAATATTGTCTTACACATTTTAATGTTCTGTAAGGTAACGATAATAAATATTGTTCAAAATTGGTCATCGTTGACATGCTATAAAAGGTTTATAGGTTATCTATAATTTTTTTTTTAACGATTGTGGCCAAAGTTTTAATTTTTGTTAAGAACTTCGTCACAACTTTATTTTTACAAATTTACCCCGATTTTTTTATATAACTCTGTTTTTACATGTTTTTAAATGGTTTATTAGTACAATTGTGTTTTTGCAAATTATTTTTTTCGTAAGAATTCGATTTTACAAACTCGGTTTCTAAATTTCTTACATGTTCGTTTTTATTACAGTTTTTCTTTACAAATGTTTTTTTTTTTTTTTTACAAATTCTTGTTATGAAATCTGTACAAATTCTTTTTTGATAAAATTAAGTAGTGCATTTTTTTTTCAAATTTTACATGTCTTTTACAACATTTAATGTTTTGTTAACATATTTAAAGTCATAAAAACGAATTTGTAAATATGAATATGTAAAAAACAAATCTTTTCATGGGTTTTTCTACAACATTACAACAAACATGCATAAAAACAAATATGTGAAAATTTTAGAAAACAAATTTGTAAAAATGAAAAAAAAAATCTTAAAAACATACATAAAAACAAATATGTAAAATCAGATTTGTAAAAAAAACTAACTTCTATCAAAAAAATAATTTAAAAAACATGTAAAACAAATTCGTAACAAAAAATAAAACTTGAACCAAAATTATAACAAACAAAAACCGAGTAACCTGTTTAACTTACTATAGCATATCACAATGAGCAATTTGGAACAAATTTCATAGTTGGTCACCTCTTTGGATATTAAAGTGTGTAAAATGATTTCTCAAATACATTAAAAATGGTTGGTTGGTCAAAAGTAGTGTTAACCCATAATTTATCATAACCTTTAGTTTGTGTTTGTTAATTTCATTCCAACTATGCGTATCCATTTTGTTAAAGGGATGTGATTTGTACACAATAATTTTTCTCCATACACAACAATTGGTTCTTTAAAATGTTGTACTGTACAACTCTATAACGCATAAATTGTTGTGTATGACAAAAAACTGTTATGTACGAATCACTTTCCTTTTTTAAAAGCTGAAATCAGTTCACACCGACTTGCTTGGATATGATCAAACGGATCCATTCAATAACAAACCCGCGACAATCAATCAATTATTCATTAAATTTGACAATCAATTACTTTGATAAATATTTATTTAGCAATTAACTAAAAAAAATAAAAATAACCTGGTTCCACCGACTTTTAGCTATAACTAGTACGAAGCAAAAAGTACAAAGTACGTAATCAGTAACCAGTAACCAGTATCCAGTAGTACCAGTAACCACACATGTGGGATCTAGAGACGGAATTGACGTGCATATTTACAGTGCCTTGAGAATCTCATTAGCACCCGAGACAGTGAATTCACCGCCTTCTTCAATGTTTGCAGCTACCACTTTGAGATTATTAACCAACATAGCAAACCTTCTGGACCGAGTTCCCATCCCTTTTTCAGAAAGGTCAAGCTCAAGCCCAAGTGCATGGATGTAAGATGCAGATCCATCAGCAAGAAACTTAACATTCTTTGTATCAGCATATGATTTTCTCCATGCCTTCATCACATAAGGGTCGTTTGCTGCATATATCAAAACACAAATTTGGTAGGAAACAGCAATGTTAGATTTTTCAATATACATGTTAATGTTATACAAGGAAGAAATGGAAGTAGGATGCAATAATAATAAAAAAATCAATGATAAGGGACAATAATTGACATTTGCATATACAAGCTCACAATCACACTCTACATTCAATAAAAGAAGGAAATGTCAAATGAAGAAGGAAACACATACCACTGATTAACAGAAGTTCCTCTACACCTTTTGATTTAAGCTCTTCAGATCTTTCAATGAAACTTGGTACATGCTGCATGCTGTTCCACAAAATTTAACACAAGGGAAATGTTACTATACCAATTTCAAAATAAAAGCCCCAAATTGCATTTGTTTTCCAATTTAGGTGGTTATAAGACATGCACTTCATATAAACAATGGGGTGTTTCAATGTGCTGAGAAACAATAAAAGTGAAGTAAAAAATTCAGTTTAATTAGTTCTGATTCCCTTAAATATATAACAGCCAAAATTATAAAATTTGGTGCAAAATGATTAACTTCAATAAATGTGAACTAAATGATGATGTTATTGTAATTGAAATTTGCGAAAACACTATCACATACAGCTCGTTTATGCTAATTACTTGATCCTATTACTCAAATACTTAATATCAGATTACCCCTTTCAAAACGCAGATGCAATCACTCAAATAAAACTTCGTGTTTAATTAGGAACTCAATTATCAAAATCCAAAAGTTCAAATCTGTTCAGGCATATCTGATTTCAGTACAACAGAATCACTAATTTCTAAATTCCAAATCCAATAGGTGAATGACAAGTAACAACGACAATACGACATCAATGCATCTAAAATGCACAAGTTTCACCTACAAGTTCGATACAATTTAACGAACATTAACACCAATTTACGAGAATTTCACCATATTACACCCAAACACAACTAGAAAAGTAATACGAAAATAGAAATGAGAGGAATTTAAAACAATTCTACCTGCAGGTAGGAGTGAAAGCGCCGGGAACGCCAAATATAACGACTTTCTTGCCGGAGGCCAGGGAATGTATGGAGACATCCTGCATCTTATCTTCCTCGTTGAAGTAGGCAAGAGTGCCATCGGGAATAGTGTCACCAACAGCGATCGGAGGCATTTTACTGTGAATCTTATTCTCTTAACGGTGATCGGCTGATGCGGTATTGACGGGAACTGTTTGAATATGAAATTCGGTGAAGTTGGTATGCATATTTATACTGGTACTAGCTACTAAAAACTTTTTCAAGTTTAAATTGCCTGTTACATCGTTAGTCTACACAATAGTTGATGACTTGATGTATGTTATGAGCCCATGCTGAATTATTTTAGTATATTATTTTTTTAATGTAGGTTTTTATTAACTTATTATTTTTTAATTTTATTTTTTGCTATTTTATCTATGATCAGATCTTTGATTTTAACATCGTACAAGCGGAAATCAATCCTGATCCTACTAGGATTTATGTTAAGCAACATTTATACTTAGATTTTATGATTAAGACTAGGATATTAAGATTTTAACGCCCGATCTGATCCTATCTCTTTAGCCTTTATTACATAGTTAAGCTTCAAAAATCTGTCCATACAACTTGTAACGAGCATTGCATGTCGCAAGAGGTTGAAATCAGAAAGTGACATTAGGTATTACTCTTTCATCTTAACATACAGAACATCATGACACTCATGTTATTATCTTTATAAATTTATGTTGTTAATTGTATATGATCACGATTATCTTTTTTTTTACTACTTTTGATTTGTTCTTCCTAATTTTTTTGTGGTTTGTAGTAACAAGAATTATAGTTCATGCTTAAAAATTTAAAGTTAATTTCATCATTGTTGTTTTAATCAATACCAAGTTATAATGAGTATTGTACGGACAAAACATTGCAAACAAATTTGAAGACTAGTTCATTTTGATAAGGTCTTTCGATCATAATCTTACAAAACAAAAAACGATCTTAGATCTCGATCTTAACAATCTTTATTTTATTAACTACTCTGTATGTTTTAAGGGTTTATTTTACTTTTATGATTTGTAAATTTAACCCCTTATTCAATAATATTTCATTTTATTCTTTAGTTGTACTTAAATTTCATATATTTATTGTTTTTTTTACTAACTAGTAAATGAGCTCACGCTTAGCCGCAAGGTTTTACGTGTTTTTGTTGCGTATTAAAAGTAAGATTTAATTAAATGAGTGACATTTTACAAAGTTTAAACTTCAGGGGGTCAAAGTAACATTTAAAAAAAAGAGGAGTGGAAAATGCATTTTTCAAAATAAAGGAGTAAAAATCATATTATATATACTACGGGACAGTGAATAAGTACGAAAGTCTAGAAAAATAAGGGGTAAAAATGACATCTTACAAAGTTGAAGGTGGGGAGTAAGTAATATTTTAAAAAGTAAATGAATAAAACATATCATTTTACAAAAGAAAGAGGTTGCATGTTACAGATTATATAAAGTTGAGGGATTAAGGGGGTGTTTGGCTTATCTTTTGAGAGCCCAAAAGTTCTTTTTGGAAAAGATAAAATGCAAAAGATGTTTGATAAAAGTATTTTAAAATCAAACTTTTGGATTTTTGATATAAGAAAAACTGACTTTTGGAAATCCTGACTTTTTGTAACTTTTGCCAAAAGGACTTTTGCCTCCCAAAAAGATAAGCCAAACACCCTTAAAATTACATTTTGTTTATTAACATACTTGTACATTGTGTAATAATAATTGCACTTTATTTATTAACATACTTGTACATTGTGCAATAATAATTGCACCGGTAGCTACAATGCCTCTGTCTCACAATCGGAAACTTTCATTTTGTATATATTTATAATTAATTTACTTTATATTAAATAATATTTCATTTATGAAATATGAAATTTAATACTTATAATGATTATAACAATTTTCAATATTTTTTTATTTTATAACTATAAGCATCATTTAATCACATTCCATAAAAAGGGATTGTCTGCACTTTTTCAGAAAAAAAATCCTCAGAAAAAAAATCCGAATCCAGAGAGAGTTGTATTTATTGTTTTATTTGATTATAGAATTTAGTCTATAAAAAGGGATTGTTTGCACTTCAAAGAAAAAAAACTCATCATCTACTTGTAAATATTTGTACATATATTCACATTATCTCATACTTTCTAGTTTCCACTTCCTATATAATCAAAGAAATAAGAATTCTATCACAACATAAACAAGTGTGACCGATGAACAATTTGTGTCATCAAAAGTATTGTGCAATGAGATTAAAACAATATATATTGTAGATTTTTACCTACATTTTCAAATGACCCCTTCTATTCACCACCTACATGATGTGTCTTTGGACAAGTTCAACATGAAATCGTCCAGAGGGTAGTATTTATTATTTTAACATGACTTGTTACTTTTGACACTATTTATCTTTTATCTACTTAAAATATTCTATACAACCCTGTATTCAAACTTTTTTTTTACACAAATCATATTTGAATACGAAATAATTCTAAAAGAAATATTACCAGACATTAAGATTAAATAATTAAATACCTTTCAATGCGTCATATATTAATAAAAATTTGATACAATGGTTTAATTAGTGAAAGAAATCAAAAATTAAAATATTATTAGGTGAATAAAATGAAATATTATTAAATTAAGGGGATTAAATGTACAAAACGCAAATCAAAATAAGGCTTGATAAATATCAAGTGATCGAGAGAAATGAAAATAAGTCCTATGCTCCATATAGTAATAAGCTATTTATTGGTTATTTCAAATAGTATTCGCCACAAAATAATGGAGATGCTCTAACAAGCAATCTTTCCTGTGTCAATTGCAAGAACATCTCGAACATTGTTGATATAAAATTGTCTATAAGATAACACCTCGTGTTTTGTTTTGTAGGGTTCCTGATTATAATATAAAACATGATACAAAAAGACCAAAAGTTCAAATTTTGACATGAAACATGAACATGTTTTGGACCTTTGAACAGGAGAAAGGAACCAAAAGGTAATTGTGTTATAATAAACCACCAACTTAATCTTCTTCTTGAAACACCTCAGAGCTTTGTTTACATTCAGTGGCATCACATAAAGCTTTCCATATGGGTACCAACATTTTCAAGGGTGGATGGAATTTCTACATAATGCAAGTAAAAAAGCAATTAAGGGGTAAAGTTGGTTAATGAGAGTTATGAAGTAATTACCTTGAAAACTAAGGTAAGTTCATCTTGGTCACGTAGTAGGAGAGATAAGCACCACCAACAAGTAACTGGAGTAACATGTTCATTCAGCACCGGTTTAAGAATCTTGCTTACAGGAATAAAGCATCGCCTTATCTTTCCACTATACTCATACACAAAAACAAAAAATGAATGAAACAAAAGGCATTCCAATAACCTTTGTACTCCTATTTTCAATGATGATGAGGGTATTTACGTCTTTTGCACAGACTAGAGATCACTGTCCTACCTTTTTCGACCTTATGGATGGGACAAAAAGTTGCAATTTGTCTCACTGACATCAGTCCCAGTCAAATGCAATACAACTTGTTTTTTCATAAGTGATTTTTTTTTATAGATGTTGGGATAAGTTGAGTACCTTCCATAATGAGTTTCAAGCTGGACTCCAAAAGCAGGCATGATTATCACAGACTCTGAAACCAAAAAAATGTATATCAAATTAATATTACATGATGTCTTTTATTTTGTTTTTTAAGTTTTAACGGTTGATATATGTTTGAAAGGATACCTAATTTAATATGGTTGCAGGGATCTCACCTTTCACAATTGGTCTCCAAATAAACAATTTGACCAAGAGAAGACCAAAAAGTAGGCACCATAAAACAGTGGTGACTGGTTTTCCCTGTAGATGAGGAAAAACTATAGTGATTGTTGTAAAGTAGATGTATGAAATGTAAGATCCACAATCAATAACCCAATTTATCAGCTTTTCATAAACACATACAGAACAAAAACTCAAATGGCTTCACAACTAATCATACCTGTTCGAAATGGAGAAAGGCAGCATATGATAAGAGAAGTATCACAAAGAGGTATATGACAATTGGCTTCACAACACTTCTTTGAGCGACAATATGGTGGGTGTCAACGGCTTGGAGAGGAAGAAACTTATGATAGTCATGCACATATGTAAATCTCGCATTCGAAATTACAGAAGGCTCCACCATTTTAGAACCAAAATTGGAGCTCATGGAACCGATATCCTCTTCCCCTGTAACATCTTAATCACGATCAGCATCTATAACCAAACGTCCAAACCCTTTTCGCAAACCCTGATTCGGTAAAATGCCCCATGGTCTCTATTCAGTATTCTCTAACGCGCTGCTTGGTACTTTCAGATTCGAGAAATGGGAAAGTAATGTATTATTATTATTATTATTATTTTTTACTGTTTCCTATCTGATAATATTTTTGGGCCATATATATTATACACTATATGAATAACATGATTTATGCCCCCTAAGAATTTGATGCTCTGGGCCTAAACCCAAGTTGACCGGGTATTGGGCTGGCTCTGCATGCATATGAAGAGTTTGAAGAAGTGCCTAACAGCCTAAATGAAATCCGCTTTTGATAAAAGTTAAAAAAAATATATATATAATAATAATAATAATAATAATAATAATGTAGTGTGCTTTTCAAGAAATTCGTCGGCGAAGAATTATAATTAGTCCAACTATACAAATGCCATAATTAATGACGATGAAGTATTTATATGGACCAAATGAGTGCAGGAAACAAATGGGTGTACAAGAGTTGAATTGGTCCTAGGTGCTAATATTTGACACATTGATAACCATGATGAAACCATAGCCAAGAATAATGCTATAAATGCTCTTAGACCTATCTGTTCCTCAGGTTGCACTAGTACTAATTTAATTACTTATAAGGTAATTACTCACCATTGGCATATTTTGTAGTTCTTGATAGGGGTGAGCGCGGTGCGGTTCGGTGCGGTTATTGGCCAAACCTATTTACAACTCTTCTATCGTATTTTGCAAGTGTAAGTATGAATGATAATGCATCATCATCCACCAGGAAGAGGAAGAAGAGGAAAAGTTTCAAGACTTTGGACAAGGGTGATGTGGCACATTGGTCGGATGTTAACCATGATGTGATTTTTTTTAGTAATGATGCAACCGAGAATTGTTGATTTTGTTGCATTCAGTGGAGTTTGCAAGTTATGGAGGTCATTTGCACTCTATAACAAGAACACGTTTATGGCGTCCAAACCACCCATGAGGATATTTTTCGAGCACTATAGTGATAATACAATGTTGTGGTGCCTGAAGGACTTTGAAGGAAGAAATTTCAAAACCATTGTTCCCGATTCTGAGGGCAGGAAGTGTGTTGGATGTACTTGTGGTTACCTGATCTTAACGAGAGGTAAAATCCACGACTTCTAGCTTGTGAATCCTATCACAAGGCATGAACTTTATTTCCATGGTTTCTCCTTATATGAAGGTGCTGGTCTTGAATGTACCGTGGGCCTCCTTGTCTTTTCACCTTCAATATCTGGGGGCCTTCTTGTCTTTTCACCTTCAATATCTGGTTGGGTGTTTGTTTTGTTACATGAGAATGAATGGTGTGAAGGAAATATATCTTTTTATATAGCGGGTAAACGAGGATGGAATCATGTCTACTCTAATCACCGCATTCTTGATATACATGTTTTCAAGGGGAATATATATACCCTAGACACTGATTTTTGTGTACGCGAACTCAAACTCCTTCCAAATCGGAAGCACAAATGGACGTTACTTGAAATCAAGAATTTTCCAAAGCCTTATATGTTTTCAACGGAGTTTGTAAGTTCGAGTGAAAGCCTTTATGTGATAGATCACTATGCACCACACAAGGTTCTGGAAATAGATATCGGTGAAATGAAATGGGTGTCACCAGAAAAGACAATAGAAGAATATGCAATCTTTCTTAGCAATGGCGGGATAAGGTCTTCTGCTGCTATTAAACCCGAGTCATGGGCTGGCCCTTGGACAGATTACAAGAGCTATGATTGCTTTCTTGATACTAATAAAAATCGACTGGACATTTTCGATTTTAACACGATATGGTACTTCCCCCATGATTGTTTGAATGTTAATCTCTTAGATAAATGATGACTTCTTATCTTTGTTTTGATTATGGAGTATAAAATCCCCATATGTAGAACCTTTTCAAGACGTAACCATAGTTGGTTTATTTACATCTTGCAACTTCTTAATTGGTTGTCACTCACCCTTTTGCCTAATTAGGGTGGAATTTTTATCTTTGTTTTTATCAAGTACTATAGCTTGACTATTCTGTAGTCCTGGGACTCTCTCTCTCACACACACACACGTACACTTAATTGATTTGGTTGTGGTATGAGTGAGTTGGGTTGTGCGGGTCTTTTTCAATTGTATATTAATTTAAATATTAAAAATAAATGATGAAAACTGTAAAAAGTTATATTAAGGAGATATTAGTCATTTTACTTTGGTCATTGATATTTACAAAGAAACCCTCCTAAAATGATCTAAATTTTTAGAAATGAAACTATTGCCACCTAAGAAAACATCTTTTTTTTGCATTTTTTTTGAATTAAACAATATTAATTAAAACCATTAGAGACACTATGTTACTTTGGGATTGTCATTCTGGTCTCTCTCACCATTAAAGACGAATGGTTACTTTGCGATTGTCACTCCCACCCATTAAATAAGGGTATTGTTATACCCACCCCACATTTTATAATTCTACCCATGCAATTATTAATTTTGGGTATTGTTATACCTACCTCACATTTTATAATCCTAGCCATGCAATTATTAATTTTTAGTTAAATAACAAAAATATAGACATCGTATTCCGTACAAATATTATTCTCTCTCTTAATCATTAATTTTTTTTCTTTAATATACACGAATAATTATTACAAAGTAGTCTTCCATCGATCAATCTCAAATATAGGAATCCCGAATATAATGTTATTTTAATTTTCTAATTTTGTCCTCATACTTTTATATATCTTTCAAAGTTTACCTTTTGTTTTTTAAAATTTTATTTTAAACCTTTTACTTAATATGTTACTATAAGGTATTATTACAAACTATGAAATGGATTTTAAATCAAAATAGTTGACAAATGAAATGGATTTGACGTACGTCAAGCTAAAACTACTAAATTTTATGCCCTACACGAATTCACGTCAAAAAATATCAGAAATATGTTATAATATTTTAAATAACATAATTTTAATAAAATATTTTATTAAATAGAATTAAAACATAATATAATATTTTAAATTTTTTAGATTTTTTTATAGTGATATCGTAAATATAAACTAATAAAACATTAAAAATATATTCAAACGTCAAATATTTTTTGTTGTTCAACAAAGATTCAAAGATTTTTTTTAACTATACAAAAAAGGGGTTATGGTTAAGTGGAGAAAGGGTAGGGATAATTAAAGCCAACAAAATGTCAAAAGTTTTTTTTTTTTTTTTTTTTTACGTTAAACAATGTTTTCAAACAAAATGTCAAAAAAAAAATATTTTTAAATCATAAAAACAAAGGTGAATAAATAAATTAAATAAAAAACAAGATTAATAAAAGAAAAAATAAATAAGCTAGTATATTAAAAGAAAATTAATAATTATGTAATCATTAGTTATTTAAGAAAAAAAGTTAAATGTAATTATTAGGGGGTATGGTTAAGTGGAAAAAGGGTAGGATAATTAAAGCCATCAAATAATACAAATTGATGTTGCTTCTTCTAGACGTGCTGTCTGATTCTCATGAAAAAAAAAAGCATCCAGGACCTCGTAAGAAATTAGAAATCAAGTAACTCGAAGGTCCATTTATCTTTTATTTGCTTCTTATTTCATAAAAAAGCAAAACACCTCAACTGATATAATGTACCTAATTAATCTGCAAAAAAAAAAAAAAAATCTTCAATTTGCTTGTAAGTGAGTTTTAGCTGAAAGTTGAGTTGCTAACCGCAAGAGTCCTCAGCTTAGTAATGTTAAAATTCTTATTAAAATTTGTTGGCTGATATGTTAATAGTTTTATCATTTGGCCAACATGTTAATATGATGATTATTTTTTTTTGTTGGAATGTGTTAAAATTGCTAAAATGATAATATTATAATTGTTTTTTGAACGAAGTTTTAGTTCAGAATAACTTTATCATTTGTGTGGCTATCGGAGATCTCCGGCCGATGGCTTCACAGGGGAGGTGCCGACAAGCAGGAGTCGGCGTGAGGAATGGAGTCGACGAACAGGAACGGAACGATGAGATGCGCAATAACTCAGCTGTATTTTTCTTTTAGGGAGAAGGTAAAAACGCGACGCGTTTGTATCTTTTGGGTAAACAGGACCGAGTTAGTCCATTGGTTAGCAACAGTTGACCGATTCAGCCAATTAGAAGCTTCATCAAATGGGCTGACTGCTGGCTGAGTCAGTAGCTTTGATCGGACCTAGTAAATGCAAATCAAACGACCCCTAAGGTGTTGTTTGGTTCGCAGAATGTTGCTGAAGGAATTGCAATTGAAATTAGAAAAGGAATCTGTCAGGAATTTGAATCCAATTCCATATCCTGTTTGGTTAGCAGGAAATGGATTTGGAATTAATTCCAGATCCTGTTTGGGTTGGAGGAATTGGAATTGGAATCCATCTAAAATGACAGAATTGCCCTTTTGTCTATTTTACTTAATTTCACTTTGTTTTTTTAACATATATGTAAAGATGCATTATATAAATTATAAAAATAGTAAAATTTTATTTAAGGGATTGTTAGGTTCGATTTCAACAGCAAGATGATATAATTTGATTACAACGTATTTCTATAATCAGCAGGTCGAGAAAATGAAGGGCCGGTGATGTTGGGGGTGCGCCGTCAATCGTCATCTGGAGGGCTAGGGTTCGCAAGTGGACGAGACCGGCTGGGATCTTTTTCCCAAAACTAAAGATAAAACAAATTAGGGTGATCCCACAAGTATCATACGATCCAAACAATAACCATTGGGATGATCAATATGGACTATCAACTTTGATTTGGGCCCATTCTAGCAAGAGAAAAATCAACAACTCAACGCCATGTGCTCCAATCCAGTCAAGCTAAATATGATTCTATAAGAAGCGGTCCGACCATCTCAATGTTTTCAAGAAAAAAAGGAGGGGAAGAGTAGTACCTTACTACTACTACTCGCGAAGCATTTCGAAAGAGCCCTGGCAGAAAATCAATTAGCTTATGATTTAAAGAAAATATACTAACTCACAAAATTGGTGTTGTTGTCTTTTCAGAAAATCGCTTCAGCGCCGCGATACTCAGAGTGCCCCAACAACAAACTTGGGGAGCAAAGCTCGGCCTGTAAAATATTTACAGGGGACTAGCGAAGTGTGCACCGCTGACCAGTCACTCAAAGTTCCCATCTAGCGGGCATAGAAATATAACTCCCCACCCGGTGTTGGCTGCGGATCTCGTCCCCCTCACCAGGGTGCGCGCGCGACGCTTAGAGCGTCTATTTCTATTAACAACTTCCAGCTGTGACTGGAACGCGGGAATCATGGACCAAGTACGTTGTATCTATTTACAGACTTCGGAGCTCGGCAACAGTCTTAGGGACTGAAGGGCAAGCTTACGCTTCTTAGCTACCCAGCCCAACATTTTAAAGACATCAGTGTCGCGTAACACTCTTTAGCAGCCTCGGTCCGCATGATCGTAGCAACAGTTACGTTACATCGCACCGATCGGCTTGCACTCCTCTCAAGAAAGGAGTATCAAGTCAGCTCAACCTGCATAAGCAATGTTTGGCTCTTCGCACAACCCCACGACTCTCGTGGGCGAGGTTCGGTCATTTCTCTTTATTATTCATTGTATTGGTGCTTTATCTAGTCCGATCCGATTGTCAGCAACCCAATCGCATCAGACTAGGGGGACTTGACGACGCACAATTTATATGACTAGTTCTAGTCCGATGTCATTGGCCGCGTACCAATAACACCAGACTGGGGGGACTTGATGATATATGGTCCACTAGCATGGCCCAGACTGCTCTAGCGCGCCAGCCTGGCCTGGCGCGCTCCTGCCATCCCTGGCTTTGCCAGCCTTGCTGGGGACTCCCTTGCCAGCCCTGCTGGGGACTCTCCTGCCGGCCCGGCCAGGCGCTCTCTCGCCTGGCGCTCCCCTGCCATCCTATCTTGGTGCGCGCCCGCCAGCCTTGCCTGGGACGCGCCCGCCAGCCCCGCCCGGCGCCTCCGGGCGGCCTTACCCAACTCCTTGCTAGTTGGGCCTGAATTAGGCTGGCCCAAGGCTTGACCCAACTCCCCTTGACCTAATAGTCCACTATAAATAGAATAGTGCCTCCTCCATGAAGGATGACTTTTCCAAGACTCTCTCCCAAGTGGGTCAACCACCACTAGACTTCCCCATGGCTCAGCCGCCACTATACTCCGCCCGGGTGGCTCAGCCGCCACCCGCCGCCGCCAGCCACCACACACCACCACAAGCACCAAGATGGTTCTCTCCAGCTATGGAGGACCATCTCAGATCTTCTAGCTGATCTAACTTGACCGTCGGAGTCCGCTCCCGGGGCACAGTCCTTGGGGCGGCTCTAACGACTTTGCAGTGTGATATCCAGATCTCCGCTGCAGCAGAAGACCAGAAGTTATGCCGGAGGTCGATGTCGCATCAATATACAAAAACCAAACCTTCCTTTGTGAGAGAGTGGTATTGTAGCTAATAGTACCACTCTCAAAGCATAATGTACAACTAGTCAAAGCTAAGTTACAACTTTAATCCTTTATATTTGAATAATCTGTCACTTGCATCCTCTATTTTGTAAAATGATATTTTCGACCCCTTTAATTTTTAAAATATCATTTTTACCCTTCCGTCTTCAACTTTGTAAATTATCATTTTTATCCATTTGTTTTCTAAACTTTCGTGTTTACCCACCGTCCCCCTACTATATGATTTTCCCTCATATACTTTACTAATACGCAACAAAAAACACATAAAAACCCACAGCAAAGCACAAGCTCAAAATTCAAATAATAGTTCTGTTTAAAACTATAAGACTATACACCAACAAATGAAAAAAGAGAATTTTGTAGCCCTAACATGTTTGATTTTTTATTTACTTTTTTTATTTCTTTCCGGTCAAGATTAGGAACTATTATACTTCTATATACCTGACTAGTGACGCCTCTATCCATTCCATATATAAAAGGGTTATTTCCATAAATATAATTGCATTTATACTTATATATCTTATATATTTTTTCTTTTTTTTTAAACGACAAATCTAACCTACTCCTAAACTACACCTTAAATCCACCTATCTTATATTTCTTTTCAATTACATATATTGCATTTAAACAAGCTTATCAAAGCATATTATTTTTTAAATCAAGTTTAGTTAAATTGGTTTGCACAAGTATTCATACCGCATAAACAGCCTGCACGAAACTACACTGCAAGATGCGGTTTAAAGCATAAACGTGACCTAGCGTTTTAGATTCAATTATTTTTTAGGTGATCGATGCTAAGGGTGCACATGAGTTAGGGGTAATATAGGTTTACTTTTTCGTAACCGACTCCATTAATGAAATAACAATGAATAGGTTAAAATTGAGTTTATTTTGAAAATAAAACGTTATTATAGGTCTAAACCAAAAAAAAAAAAAAAAAAAAAACAAAATGCAGAGTACTTTACAAAAAAAAAGTTCAATTTACCTGGAAATAACACGTAACTAGTAAAATTTAGGTCTAAAAAAGTTTTAGATGTGAAGAAAATCAAAATTTATTGTCTTTTATAAAAAAAAACCTGTACTTATGGACAAAAGATGTCTTTGATAATCAGTGGTGTTTGGGATAGCTTTTCAAAAAAATTTATTAGCTTTTTAAAAAGCTAATAATCTAAAAAGGTATTTGTATATTTTAAAAAAAACTTTTTGAATAGTAAAAAGTAAAGTTTTCAAAATGCTGGAAAATTTTACTTTTTTTTTTTTAGCGATTTTACTTTTGGAAAAGCAGTTTTTTTCTTATCCAAACATTTTTTAAAATCAATTTTTCTTAAAATCCATAAACTAATAAACATTTTTCTTAAAATCATGTAAAAAACTAACTCAAACTTTTCTTAATCCTTCCTCCCTGGTAGTCTGGTACAAACCTGTCACAATCCCCTGTCCATTTGTCTCTCAACACTCAACAGTCAACTCCACCCTTCCCCAGATATCACAGGTGTATTTTCTCTCTTTAGCTTCTTTATGTGGGTGGTTCGTCTTTGCTTGTCAATTTATTTCTCTATTTGCTTTTCGCCCTTTTTACTCTCTAATCTATACCTCTTCCTAGTTATCTATTTGGGTGGTTCGTCTTTGCTTGTCGATTTACCCTAACTTTTTAATTCAGGTCACTCAATCTAATGCAAAATCTGAGTTAAGTTGTTATAGATTTCTCCATACAGATTTGATGCTATTCATCCTAATCTGATTATTCTGCCAAAATTTAGTCTGACCTAATCTGACCTGATTTCACTGTGTTCTAATCAGTTCAATTTGGTTAACTAACACTGGTTTTTGCACTTTACAGGTGACCTTAAAGTTGCAATTTAGTTTGCAGGTGACCTATTTAGCACTTGAGATTCTCACATGAAAACCTTAGGGTGCGTTTGGTTGTGGAAAATTTTCCAGTTTTTTTGGAAAATTTTCCAAGAAAAACGGAAATTTTGAAAACGCGTTTGGTTCGTTCAGTTTTCCGAAATTTTTCCAAGAAAATGAAAATTTTCAGTTTTCCAAATTGTATGTAAATTAGAAAAGTGATTTTTATAGTTTTCCAAAGTTTTCCAAATTTCTAAGATGAAAAATGAAAACTCCTCCGGTTTCAACCAAATGCGTTTTCTAAAATTTTCATTGAAAATTGAAAACGAAAACTCAACTCTATTTTCTGAAAACATTTTCTCAGAAAATGTTTTCAAAAAATATAGGTTGAGTTTTCGCTTTCAAATTTCAATGAAAATTTTAGAAAACACGTTTGGTTGAAACCGGGGGAGTTTTCATTTTCCATCTTAGAAATTTGGAAAACTGTAAAAATCATTTTTCTAATTTACATACAATTTGGAAAACTGAAAATTTTCATTTTCTTGGAAAATTTTGAAAAAATGAACGAACCAAACGTGTTTTCAAAATTTTCGTTTTTCTTGGAAAATTTTTCTAGAAAACTAGAAAATTTTCCACAACCAAACGCGCCCTTAGTTTCCATATACGATAACTTGCTGCTAACAACCATTGAATGTGGGCGTATATTTTGTACTACTCATGGTTCATTTCACTGAATGAGAATCAAGTCGCAGGAAATAGATTTAGTGCTATGTGTTGTATTTTCCTCATATCAATGTTTTAGAGTGTCATGTAAACCTATGATTATGACTATTCTCCAAAGCAGCTGCCTATCAGTTCCTAATTACAAACATAATTTTTGGAACTAAATAAAATCATATCTTTACATCCTCAAAACTCCATCTTCAAGGTGATTTGTTAATATCTTGTTTTACCAGTTTGGGACAACTATTAGTAAAGATAATTAGAGTGCATCTTCTTAATCTTTCACTGCTAACTTCTACTCTTGATCATCTATGTCTTCCTAAATCTTTCTAAATCTGATGTAAATCTTGGAGGCATAAACTTTATTATATTGGGACAACTATTAGTATTCTAATTAGAGTACATATTCTTATCCATTTTCTAATAGCTGCTGGAACATCAAGATCAAAGATAACAAGCCTACAATGGTTTTTAAGATCTAGAGCTGAAATGGGCTTATAATCTCGATGCCTTTTTTTTTTTTCATTTAGTCAACAAATATCTTGATGGTTTCACCATATTATATGTAAGTGTTGATGAAGACAGAATCAAGGCTATCCTTGTCTTTTCACCTTCGATATCTAGGTGGGTGTTTGTTGTGTTACATAGAAAAATATCGTATCATATAGCTGGTAAACAAAGATGAATTCATGTCTCCTCCACTCTTCCCTCTCTCTATATCCTTGATTTACATGCTTTTAAGGGTAAAATATATACCCTACATTTCGATTGTTCTTTATGTGAACTGAGACTGGATCCGAAGTGGAAGCACAAATGGATGTTAGTTGAGACCAAGAGTTTTCGAATGTCAGACATGTTAGAACCAGAGCTTGTTAATTCAAGTGAAAACCTTTATATGATACATAGGTATGGAATACCGAAAAAGGTTTTGGAATTAGATTTTGGTGAAATGAAGTGGGTTTCACCAGAAAGGAAGGGAGAATATGCATTCTTTGTGAGCAAGGTGAAGTCTGTTGCTCCTATTAAACCAGAGTCATGGACTGATGCTCGGACACGATACAAGAGTCTTGATTACTTCATTGACAATGATAAAAGTCGAAAATGCATGTTCTATCATCAATGGATGTGGTACTTCCCCCATGATTGTTTGAATGTTAATCTCTTAGATGAGTGATGACTTCTTAATTACCACTCTTATCTTTGTTTTTACATTGTGGACCTAGTAGAACCTTTTTAAGACGTTGGTGTATGTGAATCTTGGAACTTATTATTTAAACATTTTGGTTGGCACTCCTATCTTTGTATTCTAGAGTCCAGGGACACTAATTAATATTTATGATTTCTATCTTGTTAGCTTCAAATCCTCTTATGATTTCATGGTCTAGGTTCTGATGTGTTTCATCTCTCGCAATTTTAACAAGTAATCAATACACTCTGAAGAAGTGTATAATGTCAAGGATCAAGCTACTAATTTTTGAGTCATAAACAACATCTCTTGCTTCATTCATCAAGACTCTAAAATCAAGGTTCCCCCTTATGCTTACTCTAGCAGTAGAGGAGAAAAAGAAGAAACTTCAAACATGTATGGCAAGCGCACCATCTGAGCAACCCACGTAAACCCGCTGTAAGATCCACATGAGACGTCAATTGCGGAACACTAACAATATTTCAAGCGTGCCAAACTTTGAACTAATGAAAGAACTAAATAAAATCATATCCTTACATCCTCAAAACTCCATATCATGTGTTAATAGCTTGCTTTACTAGTTTGGGACAACTATTAGTAAGATAATTAGAGTGCAACTTCTAAATCTTTCACTGCTAACTTCCACTCTTGGTCATCTAGGACTTCCTAAATCTTTATAAATCAGATATATATCTTGGAGGCATAAAATTTATATTTTAGGACAATTATTAGTAATCAAATTAGAGTACATATTCTTATATGTTTTCTAATAGCTGCTGGAACATCAAGATCAAAGATAACAGCCTACAATGGTTTGTAAGAGATAGAGCTGAAATGTGTTATATTTATTTTCCAAAATCTTGTTGGGCAACATTGTTTGGAGCTTTGGATGATTTAAACCATATTCTATTATAGTTGTTGGTTTTAGTTCAGTCATCAAACCTTGTTTTATCATGTCATTGAGTAGTCACGGATTGATGATGTTTCTTTATATCATTGGGTGTTGCTAATTGAAGAATAATGACATACTGAGTGTAGGAATGGCTAAGACAAAAAGTATGACTAGAAATCAAAATCATGATGATGATGATGATATCATCATCAACCAGGAAGAGGTTCAAGACTTTTGACAACAATGGTGTGACATCTTGGTCAAATCGTAACCATAATGTGCTTTTTTTAGCAGGTTGAAGTCTTTTGCTGATATTATATGAGTCATGGTTTGACCCTTGGGCATGATACCAACACGATACCAGAGCTATGATGAAATCATTAATGATGATAAAAATTGAAAATGCATGTTCTATAATGAATGGATGTGGTACTTCTCCCATGATTGTTCTAAGGTTAATCTCTTAGATAAGTTTTGACTTGTTAGCACTCTTATCTTATTATTATTATTTTTTAATTTTTATTATCATACACCTATAAAATTCCAATATATAGAATCTTTTCAAGACATTTAAGAACCACTATTGGTGTATGTGCATCTTGTGACTTATTAGAAGTGGTGTCATCGTTGCCATCTCAGCTTTTTGGCATCCATGTACCGCCATGTCATTTTTGCCACACTACGAGCTTAACATGCCACCATGGTGGGCGAGTCAAAAATGACATTGAATATGGTCAACCAAAATAGTAACACACATGCACACATTCTCTCCTCGACAACCCATTTCCGTGTGGCTTCTTTTTCCTTGCCATGCCACGATTGTGGGGCGGTGTTTTCCATGTTTGCCATGGGCTTGCCGAGCATAATGTCGTTCCACTCCCTGAAGCTTTATTTAAACAATTTGATTGTTACTCACTCTTTTGCCAAAGGTGGGCACTCTTATCTTGGTTTTCATTAGGCCGGAGGGAATAGTGTCACTTTTGGCACACCCTTTTTGCTTCCCCGTAGGAGGCTCCACATCACATTTGTTACAACTCTTTAACATCTTGCAATTTAGGGAGGTTTGCTATGTAACAAGTTTTTTTTTTCTTTTACATTTCAAAAATTAATTTATATAAAAACTAGAATTTTAATTAACTAGTAGAGGAAATTACAATATAACTTAACATTAGAAAATAGAACATATGGATTAAGAATACGAAACACGAAATATATAAAAATAAAACATGCATGTTATATATATATATATATATATATATATATATATATATATATATATATATATATATTTGCAATCTTGTCTTTGACCTTTAACGCCAATTCTTTTTTCGTGTTATATATATATTTGCAATCTTGTCTTTGACCTTTAACGCCAATTCTTTTTTCGTGTTCTCTACAGTGACGACTGATATCTTTCATTAAAACTTTCATGTCACAAATTTTTTTTTTTTCTCTTTTGCAACACTCAAGTATTGCTCTAAAGTAGTATTTAAGTTGTCCGTCATGCTTGTCATTTTATCTACATCACTCGAACTACTTGCGACCACTTTACCCTTTCGTTTTGCTTGGTGTCGTCTCATGGGATGACTAGGTCTTGCAACCTCATTAGGCTTATCTTCGTTGAGGTCTACCCCGATATACGCATCCGACGATTGGATATGAATGGTTTAAGATGTTTTGGTTCTTTTAGAACCACTCGTGTATGATTATGAAGTTTTGATATCTTGCCATTTTTTAGACTCCTTCACAATATCCGAAAAATCAATAAATTTGAATGTTTCCATCTTATGATGTCGGTAAATTGCTAGAGCTTTCTTCAATATTGTTTCATCATTCGCACCACTTTGCTACTCGCGCTTCACGTTCAAGAAAATGACGTTAAACTCTATGACAACTTTGTTGGTGTTCCTCCATTCTGAGAAAATTTGATCTTTTTTCGGGTAGTCTCCAAGCTTCATTTCGGAGAGAAAACGCATTGTAACTTTTCGGTAAAAAGTTGGCTTATCTTGGTCGTTCCTAACTTTTGTGTCTTCTAAAACATCGACCCATGCACGTGCCAACACCTTCTCTTCTGTAAGGGTCCAATTCTTACAAGATGCCTTTCCTTTTTCTTGAGTTTTGGTTGAGGTTGATCATCTTCGGGACTGGAATCCGTTTCGGGTATGACATGGGGTTTGGATTGGAATTGGGGTTGCGCTTGGGTTTGGGATTGGAATTTGAATTAGGTTTCTTGAAGGGCCTAAAATGAGTTGAAATCATTAAGGGATTGGAATAGGGATTGAGATATGGATTGGAATTGGGGTTGGGATTGAGATTGGGATTGGGATTGAGATTGGAATTGGAATTGGGGTTGGGATTGGCTAGGATATGGATTGTAGTATGGACCAACATTGGGATAACGGAAAGCAGTGGGTTAAAAAAATAGAGAAATCCATTTGACTTTGGTAGAAGATGGGGGATGAAGAGTTTGAAGTGGTTGTATTTTGGGTATTTTTCTTGGAGTTTTTGGGTTGGACAGGGAATTGGAGGAAGCCATTTTCACCAAATAAGAGGAATGTTTGAGTGAAATATGAAGAATATTGAAGGTGATTGTATGATATAAAATTGGATAATTGTTGGTATTTATATTGGTTAAAATAGAGTTAAAATTTTGAATATATGGTGAAAAATCGGATATTTTTGTAAGTTAAAAAATTTTGAAAATTTGAATTTTTGTCACGCTCTCTCATCTTATGGATGTTGCAGATTACACCTGCCGAGCTCGGTGTGCCTGTGTCTCAGGGCATGGTGTGCGCCGCCGAGTCCAACTCACCAATTGTCAAGCCTTTGTCGAACCACTCCCTATAGCCTTATGGACTATAGTTTGACTATTCTATACTCTAGGGACACTCTATACATACATTAGTTGTCACTCACCTTAGCTTTCAAGGTAATTCCTGTAGAATTTTCATTAATTATTAAGGCTAAATGCAATATACAACAACATACTTTCAGTTCTCTCTGTTACAACATCATGTTTTGAGAAAGGTAACCAATTCTAGCATTTAATCCCGACATTCTTTTTCCTACAACATTATATTTCGAAAAATCAACCCAATTATAGCAGCGAACTACTTTGCATTTATTGGCAGTGGCGGACGCAGAAGGTTTTAGTAGGGGTGACACTAAAAAATTCTTTCCGAAAAAATCTAAATAAGTAGTGGCACTTGTATTTTAAGCCGGTGCACCTAATAGAAAAAACATAAAAAAACATAATTTTTTTTACACTACGTGCCGGAATCGGAGCAGTGGCCCGGGACCCCCCGGGCACCACTAAGGCCCGCCACTGTTTATTGGGTAAAATTTTGAAGGAATAATATTTGGTTACTTTGCCAGTATGTAATGACTTATGAATCCATGTTGTTTAATATGTAATAGAATGAAATTACATGAAAATGACAAAAATACCCTTTTAACACATAATGTATATAGGCTTTAATATTTTACAATAAGCTATAAAATAAAGTGAGTGGCGGATTTTCCTTAGGAGTTGCACTTATATTAAATAAAAAAAAAATTGAATTTTTTTTTACACTCTTATAGAAAATTTGAGGGTTTGCCCGTTCTATCCCAGGCTACTACATAGGTCTGCCCATGTACAGACTTTATATAGTCTAACACCATAGACTCATGGTAATTGACTAAATAACTACAACTATCACATTAACATAAAAATTGTATAAACGGCCATAAAATTTATGTAATAGAACACTATAAAAAGTATTTTTCACAATCACAAAACCTCTGTATCATACTATATATCATTGCATTCCCAAAGTATATTAAAAATTAACAATCATTTATATGACAAGTTCACTACTTAGAAGATACATATCACCAAAAAATGTTCCACATAACTGATTCTTTAGAGACACTAAAGTAATCCCTAGTGTTAAAAAAAGCCATGCAAGTTATTGACTGAACTTTCTCACTCTGACATATGCTCTATGCTTTGTTCCAGATTCAAGCATTGCCTCCAAAACTGTAATGTCTAGTGCACCTTCAATATATGTGCAACAATGTTCATCTTCAAACTTGCTACCTTTCTGCATAGAAG